GAGCCACAGGCGCCGAGCCCCATTCTCTCTCTTAAGCCACACCTATGGGTCCACTCCCTGTTAAACAACCCCCCAAGATTCCACCCCTTGTCATTGACAATACCCAGGGCACTAAATGTGGGAAACTGTATGCAGATTTCCTGTGCCAGGAAGGCAATGAAATTGCAAACGTTCTCTCCTGTGGATATGTGGGGCTGAGATGGTAGGGGCTGAGAATCACTGTAAGTTACTAGAATACAAACAAATCAGGAGAAAACAATGTGAAGTCCTGATATGGTTGTAGGGATGGGGTTATGTTACTGCTCATTTTCCAATACCACATAGGATAGAGCTTATCAAACTCCTGGCCTCAAGCAATACTACTGCCTCAGCCTCCCAGAATGCTGGGATTACATGAGCCACCGCACACATCAGCTTATTTATTATTAGTATTATTTTTCAGAGACAGTCTCATTTTATCATCCTTGGTAGTGTGCTGTGGTGGCATCACAGCTCACAGCAACCTCCAACTCCTGGGCTTAGGTGATTCTCTTGCCTCAGCTTCCCGAGTAGCTGGGACTACCGGCGCCAGCCTATTTTTTTCTTGCACTTTGGCCAAGCAGGCACAGTCTGGGATTTCAGTGGAGCAACTTGGCCAAAGGAACCTTCCTTCTGCTCAGGTCTCTATGCTGTTTGCATAGAGATCGCCAAGGCCCACCTGAGGACAGCTAAGAAATGGCAACCTGAATAGAACCCTTCTTAAAGCCAGATATTCAGAAAAACGTCCCTCTCTCTCCTGTCCTCCAACACCCAGTTCACTATCCAGAAATATCCAGTTACTTACATGTCTTTCCAGAGATGTTTTATGCTCAAACGTGCATACGTATTTCTTCTCCCTATTTTTTTTTTACACAAATGACAGTGTGCAATCTATGCTTTCTTATATTTTGGTAAAACTCATATGACATAAAATACACTGTTTAGGCTGGGTGTAGTGGCTCATGCTTGTAATCCCAACACTTTGGGAGGCCAAAGTGGGAGGATCACTGAAGGTCATGAGTTCAAGGCCAGACTGGAAAATATACTGATACCCCATCTCTACAAAAAACCAGAAACAATTAGCCAGGCGTGATGGAGGATGCCTTTAGTCCCAGCTCCTCAGGAAGCTGAGGCAAGAGGATGGCTTGAGCCCAGAAGTTGAAGGCTGCATCATTGAGCTATAATCGCACCACTGCACACCAGCCTGAGTAACAGGGCAAGACGTTGTCTCTATAACAATAAGAAAATTCACCGTTTTAATACAAACACAAAACATAAAACAATACTAGGCTCAGCGCCTGTAGCACAATGGTTACAGTGCCAGCCACATATACCCAGGGTGGCAGGTTCAAACCAGCTAAAAACAACAATGACAACTGCAACAAAAAATAGCCAGGCATTGTGGTGGGCACCTGTAGTCCCAGCTACTTGGGAGGCTGAGGTAAGAGAATTGCTTAAGCCCAAGAATTTGAGGTTGCTGTGAGCTGTAACCGCATGGTACTCTACTGAGAGTGACAAAGTGAGACTCTATCTCAAAAAATAAATAAATAATAAAGCATGATATAAAATTAATCATTTTACAGTGAACATTTGGGCAGCGCCTATGTCCCCAAGGAGTACGGTGCTAGCCCCACATGCTGGAGGTGGCGGGTTCAAACCCAGCCCTGGCCAAAAACTGCAAAAATAAATAAATAAATAAATAAATAAATAAAGTGAACATTTGGATGCAATTAGTACATTTCAGTGTTGTGCAACTACTGCCTCTATCTATGTTCCAAGATGTTTTTGTCACCCCTAAACAAAATCACATACCCATTAAGCAATCACTCCCTATTCCTCCCTCCCCCAGCCCTTAACCCCTGCTAATCTACTTTTTGTCTTTATGGATTCGCCTATTCTTGATATTTCTTTTTTTTTTTTTTTTTGAGACAGAGCCTCAAGCTGTCCTCCTGGGTAGAGTGCTGTGGCTTCACTGCTCACAGCAACTTCCAACTCCTGGGCTCCAGCAAGTCTCCTGTCTCAGCCTCCCAAGTAGCTG